GATAATCTTGGCATAACAACAGCACCAGAACAAATTGAATTAATTGAACGTGGATCAACTATAAACAATGATAATCCAGCTCTACTAGCCGAAAGTGTTTTACGAGATTTATTTTGTCGTGCACATTTAAATAATATAACTGCATGCGTACAACCAATTCTTATGTAAGACAAAAATAAAAACAACAAAAAGAATATTTTTTTTTTTTGTTTTTTTATTTGTAGACATTTAGATAATCATGCGAAATGGATTCCCGTTGATTTTCCAAAATATATATTTTCTGAAATAATGAATTCAATAAAAGTAGATTTGTTAATTAATATTATAAATTATTTAATTAAATCTTGTTTTTTGTGTGTTCATTTAGCATCATAATAGTTATTTAATTATTGAATTACTTCTTGGTCATCTTGAAAAACATTTTCATCAACAAGATACAACGAATATAAAAACATCAATTATGAATGTTATTCAAGATTGTATGGTTTTTGCTGCTGCAAATACAGGAGCTGGTATTATATGATAAGAAGAAATATTTATTTATCTAACAAAAAAAAATTTTTATTTATTTATTAGGATCAACTATGTTTACAGGCATATCACGTCTTTTAAAATTTTTAAGAAAATCATTTCAAATTCAATATTCATCAAATGATAATTCATTAACAAATAATCAATATGAACATGAATTTCAAACAGCAGTTATTAATGGAATAGGTACGAGTATTTTTATAAATGAAATAATTTCTTATTTCTTTTTGTTGTATTAAATAGGAGATTTTGCTGAAAAATTACCAGATTTTCAAATGATGGAAATAATGCAATTTATAATAACATCATTGGCAACACTTAATCAAGGTTATGAAGAAACAACAAATGATTCAAAGTTTGTTATTTTAATTTTTTCTTTTATATTTGAAAAATTGAATTATTGATTTGTTTCGTTTTTTTTAGAGATGCTACTTTAAAACTTCAATTACTTCTTCTTAAAACTGTAAAAAAAGTATGTTTACTTAGAAATACCTCTTTTTATTTCAGTTATATATTTTGTTTTCTTTGTAATAGTTTAAAGCAAATATGAGGTTACTTAAAGAAAATAATTTCTTTTTAAGGGTTTATTCCCTTGAATTTATTAATATCGTTTTTTTGCTCATTGCTCATATTTGATTGAGATTTTAATTTATGTGAAAGAAATATAAAAAAATTTATTAACGTAATATTTATTTAGGTTGCTGCTACTTATCAAACAGTTCATCGTCGTGAAACATCAACTCAAACAACATTTCCTCATCAACTTTTTGATCCATTACTTAAAATGTTGAGTGCACCAGAACCAGAAGTTCGTTTAATTGTTTTAGAAATTCTTCAATCATTAGTCGATCGACGACAATATTCAGATAAATTACGAAAAATAAAGTAATTATTATTTGAGAGAGAAAATCTATTTCGTAGAAATAATTCTTTAACGGTTTTAAATTGAAAGATGAATTATTCGTAATAAAAAATAGAAAAATGAACTATGTTACTCGACGAGTAAATCAAAGAGAAAAAGAAAGATTTCAATAGAATCATTATGAAAATTTTGCTTTTTTTTCTCTTTTACATACAAACTATAGCTCAAATGAACAATTGAAAGCTGTGGATTTTCGTTTTTGCGGACTTAGACACAAAAAAAATCAACGCATAGTTATCATTTACTGTTGATTTTCCTATGACTTGATACTTATCAAATTCAAAGTTTTCACTTAGTTTGAAAGAGAGCATTAGGTTAACACACAAAAAAACAAACAGGAACTTGAACAGTTAATAGATAAGCAATATTCCTCATTGAAAGTCGTCAGCTATGTGAAATAGTTTTTAATTGTTCATACATAATGCGTTGATGAACAACACTCCGCTAAAGATACACCTTTTATCGTTCTAAAATAAATGTTCATTCTTTAGAAACAAGATTATTGTATATAACATCGTAGAAATTGAAGATTAGCACTCAATTATATTACGTTAGCTTAATGTAATTACAATGATGAATATCTTGTAGTGTAACATGATATTCAGTAATGAGTACCATAAATTTAACATCATCTCGATAGTTAATCTTAATAAGAGTTCGAAACGAACAAAAGACTCATTCGGAATGTTTATATTCAATTGTGGAACAGTCCTATACGTGTGATAAAGATTGATCCACGCTACAAAGTAATTATTAGACAATTTAATGGATAGTTGACAACTATCAACCATCGATACAATAACTGAAAGTATTATATATCTCAAAAGGTCAAAACATTTACATTAACCTTGGAAACTATATATTAAATAAATTAGCTATTCCCTGCATTAATTACAATAACAAATCTTAAATATTTGTGTATTAATTTATTCAATCGATGAGTCTCACTATTTAGGTCACTTTTTATGAATGTTGCTTCTATTAGTGAGGTTTATAACATAATCTACTAAAACTACAATTTTTAGTGCCCGTTTGACGATATTTTTTTTTCGACCTATTCCCAGTCTCACTTAGAAATATAACAGTGTGCCAGTCTAAATATATATGTATAGACTAAGAGAAAGGAATGATAAAACTATGTAGTCATATATATGATAAAATTCAGTTACTTTCTTGAAATAGACTTCTCCCGATTGGAAAAATCGCAAGAAATCTATAATCAACGTCAAGTCTCAGTCATCAAGATTGAAACTAAAAATGATTCTGGACATTTCTACGTATGAGAATAAACGAAGTAGTGGAAATATATGTCTATTATTAATTACCTTTAATCTATTTGCGAGAATGATTAAGTCTGAAAATATTTCAAAATTTTGTTCGATAAATAACTAAAAAAAAAAAAATCTCATTCTCTATGAAGTTTTGATTTATATTTCATGTAGTTTATTGCTTTAATGATGCTTCTCTTCTATTTAATTAATCATTTAGAATATATTAAATAATTTATTATTTTATTTAGACTACCAAAAGATATTTCTCAATTAGAATTACCAACAGAAACAAAAGCAAATCGTCTCTTTGATATTGCATTTATGAAAAAAGTATATTTTTATTTATTATATAATATATCCATTAATTATTTATAATTTTCTATTTAGTTTGGTCGTCAATTTCTTTCACAACTTTATCAATGTATATTAATGGACAATAATACAAAAGATATATTTCATGCTACATATTGTCTTATGAATCTTGTTACACTTGAAGCAGGAGATAAAGATGTTCTTGTTGATGTTATACATTTTTGTTTTGAAATTCAAGTAAATTAAAAATATTTAGAAAATAATCAATAAATTATTAATCTTTTGTTTTTGTTTTTTGTTATTTAGTCAAACATAACAAAAATATCAGATTCCTATGGAGATTTACATCAATCATCTCAAAAAAAGTCATCAAGAGTTAATCATCATAGTATACATGCATTAATAGCAGCGTATTTTAATTTAATGTCAAAATTAAATGGAATTCGTGCTTTCTCTCATCATGTAGATGAAGTAAGAACAACAAAAAAAAACATATTCATAGATTAAAAAATCTTATTAGAATGTTAGTCGACATATAGAATTTCTCATACTGTGTATTTTATTAAGAAATCATACGAATTTCATTAACATATATAAGTTTTGAAATGTTTTTTTTGTTTCATCTTTATACTGAGAAAATGCTTTTCTTAAAATATGAGCATGTAATCATAGTTCATGTTAATCTAAAAATAATCAAGAATGTTACGTAAGACATCAACACTTTTCGGAATACACTACTCTTATTATTAAAATAAGAATTTTTATAGCGCCATTTTACTTACGAGGGAATATACCCAACTATCGAACTTCATATGATGACTAAAAGTAGATCTCGAAGAAACTAAGATGAGCTTAAAAAGATGCAGACCCATCGCCTGCTGATAAAGATTTGTTGACGTTTAAATGAATTTTTGACTGAGAGTATGACATTACAGAAAAATGTAAAACACAGTTTTGACCTGAAATTTAGCCTACAAGAACTTTTCATAGCCAATAGATTGTTCTGAATATTGCAATGAAAACGAACATTTTTTTCTTGAAATGTTCGATTTCGAATGAAACTCGATTATTGTGTCTTCCTATAGTATAAACAGTTGTTTTTTTTTCAGAAATTCAACATCTCGGGTTAGACATGTTCGCATTCATTCAAGCTTTCAGAATAATCTAATGGCTATCAAACGTGATTGTGAACTGAATTTCAGATAGAAAATCTTTGTTTTAGATTTGCCAATAATGTCTTATTCTCAATAAAAGTTTCATTAAAACGTCCAAAACCCTTCATCAATAAGCCATCGGTTCAAATGTTGTTGAGTTTGTCTTAATCTCACAGAGACCCACGTATAGTTATATCATGAAATTCGACAGTTGGGTATGTTCTTTTGTTAGAACTAGTCAACTTCAAAGATTTCTGGACTTGGTTGATCGAAATTTTTTGAAACTCGGACTGGGACTCAATTAATGAAAAAACTTCAGACTCGAAATTAGAATCAGAACCGATCCGACGGTCTTTATCTTCCATTAATTTTCACTGTAAATGATAGCTAGGTATTCTATAAATTCTTTTATAGCATTTTTAGTATTTAGCTAACAGCTTTTTACTTTGACTCAAAGTTCCTGGCATTTCCGACAAATAAATTTGACTTCTTTTTCTTGATTAATAAAGATATTAATAGAAAAAAAAAAAAGCAAACACTATTGTTCTTTGCTTTTTTTTCCTTCTTTAGGTCGTTCGTAATCGTGAACGTTATGCTCCATATCTATTACCGCCTACTGCATTTAGTTCAAATATTGATGAAACAATTCCATATCGTATTCCAAAAGATTGTTTATTTTCTCAAGAATCAGTTGCTAATGCATTAGATGCATCTGGTCATGATACATCAAGATTCGATCGTGAATTTCGTCCTGAACCAGGTATGTTGTTTATTTATTAATAATTATTTGATACAGTTACAGCTTGTTTATTACTTAATGTAATATTACGTGATTTTCTTCGTAAAATATTTGGTAGCATTCGAAATGTTTTACATTTAATAATAGCCCATACATGATGTCGATATTTTTCATTTGTTAACATATAACAAAATGGTTTAAATATGTGACATAAAAAAAATATATCTTTTAATTGATAAAGTATTTGATTATTTGATAATTCATAAAACCAATAAGGTATATAAAGTAATAAATAAATAAATAAAATAAGACCTGTTGATCGTATAAGTGTATGACTATTTTCATTAACAGTTAAATAAGTTAGATAATCAAGAGATTGAACTGAACGTTTAGGTGGTGGAGTACTACTAGGAGCTGATGGTTCGATTGATATAGATGGAAAATAATACATTGAACGACGACGATTATGATTATCATTAATAGTCTAAAATATAAAATATAATATCATGAAAATTAATAAATTTGTTTTCTTCTACTACCGATTCCGACATTGGTGATTCATTTTTTCCACTGATTGCAGCTTCAGTAAGACTTCTTAGTGCTTTTTGTTTATATGCTTTAATAGCTGATTTCATTTTAATAAGTAAAATAAAATTCATAAAAATCATAAAATATGTAATAATACAACAAAAAATATTTAATGTTTTTTCTGTGATTGAATCAATATAAATAAATGATTGTTTACATGGTGGTGATCGATTATTTAATTCATATTCTTCAACATCAATATAAGTTAATGTTGTTAGAAAACCACCAACTAATATTGGTAACATAAATGTAAATAATATAAACCATAATTTTGTTGTTAATAAACGTTGTTTCCAAAAGAAAATTAATGATGTTATTAAAAGTAAATTAATTATAATTAATTCAATTATTGTTGTTATTTTTTCAAAAAATTTAAATATAAAACAAAGAAATCCACATGGTAAACCTCTTGAAATTTCAACAAGACGTAATGGTAATAAAAAATTACATACAAATATATCATTGATTAAAAATGCTAATATAAATTTATCAAATGTTGATATTGATGAACGTACAGATGGTAATAATAATGGTGTTTGAATAATATGTCCAGAAAATGATGAATGTACTTGTAGTAATGATTTATTTGTCATTGGAATTGGATTTCGTTGTGAATGTTGATAATAATATGTTTTACGTTGTATAGCTAAAACAAGAAGCCAATTGAACATAATACCAATAAAACCAATAATTGGCAATAGAAATAGTTGAAGATAGAACATTTGTCTTTTTAAACCTTGAAAATCTTTGTATGAATGAATGTAATGTTTTATTTCTATTTTTTCTTCGTATAATTTTATATAAACTTGATCGTCATCGTCTTTTTTTGCATCTTTTTTTTTTACAAGGAAAATAAGGAAAAGAAAGACTCGAAGAAATGCAAAACGAGAAAAAGAAATTTCTTCTATAAGCTACAACTAGAATTTAATCTCCTTCGTGTTATCGAAAGCATACAAAAGCAAATACGGCAATGGCATAAATCTTGTTTTCTTCATCGCGTGGCCACCTCACCGTTTTTATTCTTTTTTTTATTCCGTTTTAAATAAGCGTTAAATAATTGAATAACTATGTTTATGTTTATAAATAGTAATACGGATAAACCGAAGAAGGAAACAAAAATCTTTTATATGCGTTCTTTTTTTTTCAGAACCGGACACAGTTGGCGGCGATAATTATGATGATTCGGAAACAGATGGTTCAATAATTAGCGAAACTGAGCCTCGTGCAACATTTAGTGTATGTTAAAATGATACTTTATCTGAATTTGAAAACGATTTTATTCTTCTTTAGATTGAGAATCCCGTTGAAGATATATCATTTCAAACAATACGCGATGTATTTAATTCAAATGAAACACCTCAAGCACGTTTTAATGAAAACCGACATTTAATTGAAGAATTTCGTACAAAACCATTTGAAGAATTAAAACATCGTGTTCATGAAAAACAGCGACAAGTCGATCAACGAATAGGACAACTATTAAGTGTTCTCTATTTATCAAAAGATAAATTACCAATAACTACAACAACAACGATAACAGCATCAAATGGAATTGTATCTAATCATCATACACCAACAATCAATGGAACATTAAAATCTCATATAAATAGTTTTAATTATCCTGAATTGTTTACTTATTAATTATACGTATATATATGTATTTTTAATTGTCATTAGATTCCGGTGTTTATTTATTTAATCTATTGCTGTTCATTTTTCCTGTTTTTTTTTTGTCTCTTTGCTAATATCAAATGAAATATGTATAAGCATGTTTTATGTAGAAAAAGTTTAATTTGAACAATACTCTTTATTCAGAAGAATTCATCTGCCACAAAAAAAAGAAGACAAACGTGCACAAAAGCTCTCCAATATGAAATGAAGTTTTCTTTTTGTTTTTCTACAAAAAAAAGATCATAATAATATATGTAAGCTAAATATAGCTGCAATCATTAATCAAAAGAATTAATGAATAGAAACAAATGAAAATCGATTACCATGACAAAATTCTACAGGTTTCTAGTTATTTCTCTTACAAGAAAGTAATTATTGAATACAACGAAGCTAATTCTGTAATAATTGATGTAGAAAAAAAAAACGAGCATTGTTTGATTGTACAATTATTTTCTTATGCAGTATTTGATCTTGACATTAACAATGATCAAATAGAGAAAGGTTCAAACAATATTGAGAAAGAACTAATTTAAATAAGAGCGTATTTGAAAAATTACTTTATTTAAGAACTATAATATAATATGTTTGTGAAAAAAACAAATTTTCTTTCTGTATACTCAGTATGCATTGCTTAGATTTTCGTATATGATAGAGAATTGTTTAACTATCAAACAAAATATTAATTTATACAGATCAACTTGATAGAAGGAAATCATTATAATCTATTAGGTTTATTTTGTTTTCCTGCTTGAAACAAATATTCTAGAAAAAAAAAGAATCATCTCTCTAATTTCTTCTAAATCCATCACGATGTATTAAATAAATTACCAATCACAAATTATAATACATAATAATAAGGTAAAAAGTTGAAGATAGAACTTAGCTTTCAATTTACAATCCATTCTAGTTTGAAGATAAACTTTGAGTTGTTTTTTTTCTCTACTCCTGAAAAACCATATTACAATCATTTCTCTGTTATTAAATCAATCATTCTATCAAAATATACGAATATTTATATAGGAACTATATGTCAATCAAAGTGTGTCAATATAAAATACTCGTATTGTACATTTCTGATCCACACAACTATGTAATAAGATTTCCTATATAATTCAATGGCATATATAATATCTTCAAGCACAATTAGATTGACATTTGCCTATATATATATATACATATCTTTCCATGAAATCTTATCATTAGAAATAAACAAAGTTTTTTATACATTATAACATGAATAATAAACTCTGTGTTGAAGAAAACGAATACAACAATATAACATTTTGATGAAATTTTCATACAAATATTCATATCGAAAAAACAATACTCTTATTAATTTTCTTTTAATGTTAATGATTTTCCCTATTCTTAACTTTATCAAAAGCAAAGAAAAAAAGAAGTCTGTTAGCTATTTATCTATGAACGTTCTCACTTGAAATTGATTAGATTCTTATGCAAGATTTTCTTTTTCTCCGAATAGAATTCTCTTTCTATCATATAGAAAATTGTTCTTTATCATTTCTGTTGTGCACGTCGATCATCTTTATTACTATCGGAAGTCCGAAATTAGAAATAAATAATAGAAAGAAATAACTTGTTTCCGTTTGTCCAGCAATCGATCGACTGTTGAATATTGTTACTCAAGACATTTTTTTTTACATATGGATGTGTGTGTGTGTGTGTGCTTCGAGGTCATGTTCAATTGTATATAACAAAAAAAAGAACTCGAGAAATAAAAGAGAATCATTCGAGAGATCGATCCACACTTGATAGTTGCCGTATTGTCATAAGCGCATTTTTCTAGAAGATAGAACAATAGATACTAGAGAGCGACTAAGTGAAGAAGAGCATTACAAGGTCGTTACAAATTCTGCGTATCTATCTATCTATACATATATATATATGAGAGAGAGAAAAAACGTTTGTTAGATCACTAATGGTGGTTCTATAACAGAGAAAGAATTAGCTTACATTATATAATCATTTACACCGATACAAAAGACGCTAGAAAAGAAATCGAGACAGAAGATAGAAAGAGTAAAGTCAACAAGTTATTTCTTTTTTTTTATTGCGTGATACTTTAATATAGATAGGGAATATGCATATTGACTCGAAAAGAAACAAAATGTAATAGATGATGCTGTCAATATGATGAAAAGATAATATCTATGGTCAATTATTATTGTATTGATTCTTAAAAAGAAAAAAAAACAAGGTAAGTTATATATATATATATATAAAATAAATGGTAAGAATAAGAAATAATATGTTAGTCTATCATTTATTTATGTACTATTTAAGAGTATGAGAAAGATCATGAGAGTTCATTTGCTTTTCACAAGAATATGACGTAACTAAATATGTACCATCATTTCTTTCGCCAGTCTCTTGACTCGATGAATGACAGACAGGCAAACAGGCATGCAAAAAAAAGAATAAGTACGAGTGAAACAATCCATCTGCATTTTATAGTAGATGATCTGGTTTTCTTGATGAGCAAGGACATTTTATACTGACGTTATTCTATTCTTTAACATAGAATATTCCTATTTTATTTTTATTCTTTATATTAATAGATAGTAAATAAAAATATTCGATAGACCTATTTAATGTATCTTAATAGTTTCAAATGTCTGATTCTATATTGATTATTATGCGTAATATCCGCTTTGAGTCGTCTAATGAAGCTTATGAAACTGATCATTGTCAATTTTTGTGTACGTGTGTATAAACTAAATATAGCGTATATACATACATTCAACAATCATCTATCATAGCTACATTATTCTATGTTGAGCTCATCATCAATCGTTTCTGTTTGATTTGTTATAATAGACAAGCATTTCTTTCCTTTTGTTTTTTGTTTCTATTACTTTTTGATTATGATCGATAGTTACCCATGGTTCTTTTTTTTTTTCTTTTAGGAATTAGAACGTAATGCTTTCCTACCAAATTAAGTGGGTTTATGGACAAGCATTAAGATCTCATGCTGTTTAATAATTTATTTCTTCTTTTTCTAATGATATATGTCGTCACTGTCATCGTCGGGATTACAGAGAATACAACTTGTATTCCTAAGAAGTTAGTTCTTCTATCGAATTGTTCATTTAATTCTTCGTATTCTAATATGACGACTGACCAGCGAACATTATCAATGATCGTACCATATTTATTAGATAATAATGAAGAAGAAAATTTATATATTAAAATTATAACACGTAATATATCTCAAAAACCATTAATAAGTTTTAATTTAAATATAATTCAATGTTCAAATAATCAATTATTTAATTGGACATCAGTTGAATCATCATTAACATTACGTGGAGAATTTGTTCGTACAATATTTACTGATACAAATATAATGTATTTATCACCAGGTATAACATATTTAAGAAATTTAACAACTATTGATTGTTTAACAAAAACAATTTATCGTACTAATCATAATGAATTATTTCAAATTAATTTAAAAATTGAATCAACATTAAATGATTATTGTTCAAATCAAAATTTATGTTATCCATTAAATATTTATCAATGTAATTTAGAACAACATCGTTGTACATGTCGTTCACCTTTTCAATCTCATTTAACTAAAACTCAACAATCAATATGTATTCATGCTGTTGAATATATGGATCAATGTACAGTGAAAAATATTCATTGTTTAGAATGGTGTCATCATAATCGTTCATCAACAATGTGTATATGTCCAAATGATTTATCTCGTAAAAAATTTTTAGATGATAATCAAGGTAAATAATACATATTGTTATTTGGTTTTTGTATAGTTTATTTATTTTTTTTGTATATTTATCAGCTTATTGTGAAGGTCTAACAAATGGACTATGTAATTCATTTATTCAATGTCCATTAGGAAATATTTGTCTGGATGGAACTTGTCAGAATACTGATTATAAATTACATCATTTTATGTCATTTGATATTGTTACTATTTCAATAATTGTTTCATGTTTAATACTTTTTGTGATTGTTGTTATTCTGGGAATAAGTATATGTATATTACGTCGACAACGATGGAAAAAACATTATCATTCATCGAATGATTCTGTCTACAAAAAGAAACAACAAACAAATATTCCGACAACGAGTAATTACGATAATATTATCTATGGAGTTTTTCATAATAATGTTCAACTTTCATCAACTCTATTATCATCAAATAATGATAATGTTAATGATATTTTGCCATTTAATATCACAGATTCATCATCATATAATCCGAAAATTGTTTTTTTAGGTGGTGAACAACAATTAACAGCAATATATGCTTAATTTTTATTTTAACAGTGTGTTATTTGTTTTTGTCATTCTGTTTTACATAAATTATTTCATTTTTTGTGTCTTCTTTTCAAGTGACTATCATTGTTGTGTATTCCTGAAGGATAATTTATTAAGAAAAAAAAAGAAAAAAAGAAAAGGAAATTATTCATCATGAAATAATAAAGTGTCGTTTTTAATTTTGAACATGATATGTGAGAAAGATTAATATTAGTTTTGTTTCCGTTTAACACAGATTTTTCAGTTCATTGCAACATAAAAAAAGAAAATGTTCGGAATTTTCTACTTTTATAACTATAATCCATATATATGAATGACGTCAAAGAATTCGAAAGTAGTCACTTTTATTGATTAGTTTATAAAACAATACTCATTCGTAAGTTTGAAATGTAAATTTATGAACAAAATAAATTATAAAATAATTCTTTCAATATTATATTTTTATCTATCGATTGAATGTCGATTCTTTGTAACAATATTTGTTTCTATTTATTAAAATCGTTGAAATAATGTTTGAGCAAAATGAAACAAACCATTCGCTTAATTGTCATAAGTTTAAAACTATAAGTTTTTCTTTGATTTACTTTATGACATATCTGGTTATGCTTCTTTTTTGTTTAAACTTGACTTCAAATCATGACAGGAAACAAGCGATCTTATAAAAGTGATTTTTATTGCATTAGAAGCAATGTTATTACAATGTCAATGGTCTTTTATGATGAATGATATGAAACATTCTTCATACAACTGTTTTGTTAATTTTACATTCATTATCGATCGATAGAAATTATTCATCTGGTTTTTTTTAATAACCTCGATTGAAACTCTTCTAAATGTAATCTATGAGATGAACTCGTGCATATTGTAAATTGTTTAAGAATTTAAATTATCAACAGCATAAATCTTCTGAGCATTAAACCATGTAATAAAACACAACAAGAAAAAAAGTTTTTTCTTTTTTTTTGAAAGAGTGGAAAATTATTTAGAATATTTACATAACTGTTTTTTTTTACAGAGAAGTAATAGACGAATTTTTTCAAAAACAAAAAATTAAAATAGATGAAAAGATGTACAAAATATTACAGAGATATTAAGGAAGTCACTTTTTATGGACTACCCAATATTATCACAGTGAAAAGTAATACTTGTTAATTTTCTATCGTCATTAATGAAAATGGTCATATGTATAATATTGACGAAGAAGAATAACAAAAAAACAAATTTTTTTATGCTTTTTTCGGTAATATTCGTGTATTGTGTTGATAAAATCATTTGAATATACATTCAGAATTTGCTATCTTCTTTCAATGAAAGACTATAAGTCAAGATCAAAGATTGTCTTAAAATGTTCTGAGAAGTTATACTTTTAATTAACAGTATCATATTTACAAAAGAAACGTCATTATCTCATTTTTTTTTTGACAAAATACTTCTCGTATTTGGCTGAAAGATAATCATATGTTCATTTTGTTTTGATGATAAATGACAAGAATGATTAAATATTCTTTTTTTTGGATCGTTATTATTCTCGTGTTACAGTATGTTTTCGAGCATCTGTGGAAACGTGGTACAGATTAATATGATAAAGCAAATATACCGAATACGAAGACAAAAAATGTCTATTCATGAGAATAATCTCAAGATCAAACAAGTTTTATTTTCTTTTCTATTGAATACTGTCATGCAATCTGTTGGATGTTAACTAAATGGATCTTTTTCATATGAGTGTTGTTGTTGTTGTTGTTTTAAGAACGAAATTATAATATGAGAGAACTTAAAAATCTACCTTGACAAACTTATTTAATTTTAATTATGATCAATGTATTTAATGTTTTATAGTTTATTCATTAGTTATTTAAGATATCGATGAGAAATTATTTATTGAATAATAAAAGTTTTTTGTACATCGAATTTTTCTTTCTTAGACTTGTCTTCAATTAATAACGCTACATTTGTCTATTATTTAGTTAATTATAGAAGTCTCTGTGAAAAGAAAACTTTTGACAAAAGCCTTGTACTTTATTCATTCTTAAAGACACATTGACCTAATAATAAATACTATATTTTAATATTTTGTTCAATTAGAGATAAGTATGTATATATATATATATATAGAGAGAGAGAGAGAGAGAGAGAACAAACTACCTTCACTTTTGACAGATAGTAACTCAATGAACTGCACTTGAACATCTCTGTCTCTCGTTATTATGCGCATTTATTTAAAAAAAAAAACAGCTCAGAATAAAAAAAAAAAAGCGTCATTTGTCGCTCAAAACACAACATCTAAGAAGAAAATCCCTAAGAAGACATCAATCATTGAGAAAACATCAGAAGGATATTCTTGACATATAGACGATTTGTGTAAAACTAAGAAAAAAAGTGAATAAGCTGGGATTGTTCTTATGTTAATTATACTTAACTTTACACTTGATTATGTTTAACAATTCAATCCATGTAAAAGATCTATATAGAAATTTTTATATTAAATCTGACTTTATATATGAGTTGATATATTTTTAGTAAGTATTCTTGAGAATGAAAAAATCCTCATTTTTTTGAATAGTTTTTTGCTTACTGTTTTTCTTTCAAAAGAAAGAAAAGAAATGTCTGCATTGATGAGAAGTTTTTTCCTATTAAAATAAGAAAAGTTTATACTTAGTAAAAGAGATTCAGTTTTATTTTTCTAGCATTTAACGAGAAGATTATGAACTAAATCTGAATCTTCAGAGTAGATAATAAAAAGTTAATATAAATATATCTTACTTCCGTTTGGAGAAAAAAAGCATGCGGTTATTTTTATCAATCCATTTTACGTTAAGACAATCGTATGAAATATACTATAATGTAATGTGACATGTAATGTATGTGTTGAAGAAAATATTTTTGCTTAGATAATTACTATTTATTGAATTTTCTTGCATTTTTTGTTTCGATACTTTTTTTTTCTATCTTCCTTTGCTTTTTTCTGTTCTCTTTTTTTTTTCTAGAATAAAGAAATAATCTGGTGTTAAAAAGAGCAATCAGGCGATGTTCGTCAATAAATTCTGACAGTAACGTAAACATTCAACTAAAAAGAAGAAATTTCGTTGAAAAATAATAACCATATTTAATTAATTAATAATTATTAAAAAATGAACTTAACAAATATTAATAATGATTCTTTATTGTCATATGATGAATTTTTTACCAATACGCTCAACATTATACAAGGTTCAATTTATATACCTATTTTTTGTGCCGGGATTGGCAATAATATTTTAACTATTTTAATTATTTTACTTAATCAAGATATGAGAACAGTAACTAATTGCTATTTACTTAATTTAGCTGTAAGTGATACATTACCATTAATTGTTAGTTTACCATTTGAAATTTCGGTAAATATTTTATATCTTCAAAAATGACAAGTCAAAATTTTATATTATTTTCTTTTTTTCTTAATAGTTTTTACCAATTGAAGTTCCATGGGGACATCTTGGATGTCGAATTCGTGCTCTTCTTGCCGAAACTTCAACAAATGCATCAATATTAACCATAAGGTATAAAAGAAACAAAACAAAAATTTAAGTAAATCATAATAAAAATCTAAAATTTTCTTTTAATATAGCGCATTCACAATAGAACGTTATTTAGCTGTATGTGGTCCTTTTCGTATATCATCTTTATCGACAATACGACGTGCAATTAAAGTTCAAATATTTATTTGGTTTATTGCTATACTTTCATCTACACCTTATTTTTATTTTACAAAAAATATCGATCATCAATGTTTATTTGATCGAAATTTTCAATTATTTGTTACTATATGTTTACACATATCAGCAACTTGTTTTTTTCTTTTACCAGTATTTATACTTTGTCTGTTATATGCTTTAATGGGACAACGATTATATAATGTTGGTCTACTTCATGAAGTACATCATTTAAAAAATGAAAAAACTAATTCAAATCCTTTACCAACGAATTTACAACATTGTAGAAGTGTTGATAATCGTTTAGAAGAACAAGGATTTCAACCAACTCATTATTCATTATCACGTACTTTAACAGTATCTCGACAATCAACATATCGTAATGGAAATAGTTCTTCATCTACTTTATTATTACATATACAAGCAATGAAAAAATCAGCTTTTAAAATGCTTTGTAAGTTTATTCTATCATCATAGTTACAGTCAATTTTTTTTTTATAGGATTTCTCTTGTTTTTTTTTGTCCTAAATATTTTCATAGTATATGATATAAGAATAGTTAACAAATTTATAGTCTTATAAAAGCTTTTTTCAAAATAAATATTAATGAATTAATAAGATTCAGTAGTTCTTAGTAACTACCGTTAATACATGAGAATATTTTATAATAGATTATTTATTTTTTGTTAAGAAAAATCAGCACTGCAGTAATACTACTTTCTTCCCACATTATCATGTAACATTAGATATTAATTTCGTAGAAAGATTAAAATATCAATAAGAATATAAATAGCATCAAGAAATATCTCTTGAAATTTAACATTCATAATCTTGAAACAACGATGTACAACATACTAGTTTTGAAATCATCTAAATTTCATTGCACTTTCTTAGAAGAGGAGTCTGCAAGCTTAAAATCTATTATTACTGAATATTCTCAATCATACTATAAAATATACAGAGAACTCTTGAACTGATATAAAAGACTTTGAGATTAGTCGTTATTAAAATTCATGTTCAGAAGTCTTCAGTGCATTTTTTATGATTAAGTACTAATCAAAAACAGAGACGCAACTCTAAACTTTTTTGTTATCAAACTCTAAATAAATTATAATTTAGATTAATCTGTAATAGACTTTTAATTATTGATTAACATCACGTTGTTTTATTTTGACAACACTTTTTTGATTAACATATGGAAATGTTTGACAGTGTTCTTATTAATTTTACAATGGAAGGAAATTGTAGATAGCAAAAGATTTTTTTCGAATAAGAAAACAAACCAGTAAATCATTAACTTTATTAGTTATGTTCACTTAAACTTCTTCTTGAATTATTCAACACCCACGATTTTATTGTAAAATATATTTATCGACGACTAACCTTCAAAAGATTAACTTTCTAACTTTGTTATTATAGGTTTCTTTTTCTCTCGTTATATATTATACCTTTTAATTAATAGTAATGCTAGACATGATAATGAACCAAGTAATCATTGTATGTGTATAATAGAAGAAAAACATTCTATTGAGTGGTTATTTAGTCTAGATTTTTTCCAATGAGCATTCATTTCCTATGAAAGATTAATACTCAAGGTTTTACATAATTCCATATGCTTTGACGAATCATTTAAATTTTCATTATCTACCACTAAGATAACGTTTCCTCACCAAAACATGATTTTTCCAAATTTGCTCGAATCAAACAAGTACGGTCGTAAACGATCATATACAAAGAAATCTGGAACCTACATGAGAATATATACAGAGTGGCGCAAAAGTCACTTTACCGAAAAAAAAATTGAAAATCTCCATTACGGTTCTAGGAATCGAACTGATTTTTTTATTAATGATAGAGTCATGTCTAAACTTTATATCCGTAAAGATATACCTAGAGAAACTCTTTGTTAAGTATCACTATTGAGCTCAACAAAAAATTTTACTTTTTCACGATAGGAAAAAAACAATGTACAATGTGATGTAAAAACCACTGTACCGAAAAAAAAATTGAATATTTTCATTATAGCTCGAGCAAAAGAGCTGATTTGTTTATCAATCGTAGCGGCATGTTCAAGTTCTATACTCATAAAGACATGCCTAGAGATACCCTTTGTTAAACATACTGGTTTTTTTTCTATCTGTGAAAAATTAAAATTTTTTGTTGAGCTCAATAGTGATACTTAACGAAGAGTTTCTCTAGGCATATCTTTATGGATATAAAGCTTAGACATGACTCTATCATTAATAAAAGAATCAGCTCGTTTGCTAGAAGCGTAATGGAGATTTTCAATTTTTTTTCGGTAAAGTGACTTTTGAGCCGTCCTGAAGATACTGTATTCGTCGCTCTTGGCATATAAAATTTTTATCAAAGAATTAATTATGAAAAAAAATAACAAGTTATATACATATCTGTTTTTTATTAAATTTGAGTGACAAGGAAAAAGGTCGAATCTGTCTAGTCATTTCTGTTACCAGCTTGTTTTCTGTATTACTAACAAATTTGACTTATAAAAAGGATTTATAGTCTGTTTTGCATTTTATATTCAATTGATTTATACAAATTTTATGTCAATTTACATTGATCTTCTTTTAAAGATGTGAAATGTCATTCTAGGGGTAAATAATTAAAATTTAGACACATTTGTATAATACTACTGAATTATGTCCAACTTGTCAATTATCTTTCTATCAAGACCAGAATTCTCGAGGTTATGAGCTCTATGTAATCCTCCTAAATGAAAACAGATAAAGTGTAAATCATCTGAAGATAAATTTGTCATGCTATTAGAAAAATAATTAATGACATGGAGAGATTTTTCGTCTAGATATTTTCTTATGCGAATGTCAATGTCTCAGACTCAATAAGATTCTTTTAAGAAATAATCTCACGTTTCACTTTTTTTCTTGTGGGTACAAAAGAAAAGAGTATGCAATTCTTTGTTCTTTATAATTCTTCCAAGTTCAATATTAGTAATTAATACTGGCTTCAGGACTCGACTGAGGTTATCTCAATTCATTTAGAACTTTAATAAGTCAACGATAAAATGCTTTAAAATGTTAATATTTTGCAAGAGTTTTCTCATTTGATAAAAAGGAATTGGAGCACAATATAAAAAAATTTCTTGTGTTAAAAACGATGTTTGAATATAAACTAGTTCTATCAAAATTCAATTTTTGAAACAAACTAGACGTTAGTGATTGCACTGAATTTAAGGTATCCGTGTACTGGGTTCATTACCAGTTGAATACTCTGCTGATTGTTGTCTCAGTAAATGGATACTTACCAATTACCTATTCAGTTTCCATAGCATTCTATGAAAAATTCTTATACAGTTTAATAGATTGAACATTTAGAAACATTTTGTAGTCAAGTACTAAAACTTCATAAAGTACTCTCAAATTGATATGACATACTAATAGCAGAGTACCTTGAACTTAGCACATTCAAGGAAATACTTATGTCAAATGCAGCATTCTCTACGAATATTGCTTGATTGATCATAGCTGTCAGAACAATTCTATTAGCGCAAGTTACTTGTAGACGTATTACTTCTGTTACAAAATTTATAATTAATTATAATATTCAAAAATCCATGAATGATAGTCATTGTACAAATTTAAAAATTTCTATTAATATAAATTGTCTTTGAAATAGATATTGAATAATTATTAGCAGATTTTTCACATTATTTTATCTTTATGTTTCATGATGAATTTTCTTTTGTAATAGAAACAATGTTAAATTATGTTTAATATTGTATAATGAGGACATTTTTAGTACTTGAGACAAATAGATATAGTTAGGAGTGTTCCGATATTGATCAGATTGCTATCGATAATCGAGGTATTTATGTCTACTAAACCCAAGAGTTAATCCTTTTGTAATACTTCAGTTCTTAAAAATTTTGTTCTTTCTAATCAGTTTGACTCCGAATCGTTGAGCGTTATTAAATCGCACAAATTTCAATAATACTTTCGAAGTATTATGCGTACTGTAACAAATTTTGTATTGTTCAATTATTATTGTTAGCCTTGAAAAGTGCATGGCAAACAGATATGATGATATAATAACTCATGATATTAAGTACGTATGCAATATGATATACTATGATGAGTGTGGTTGTTTGTATTTGGTTTAATAAATATGAAAAATAGATGATTTTTATAAATGACAGATTTTTTTATTGGAGTTTTTTCTTTGAAAAAACAATAAAAATAATAAAGCCTCTTGCTTATTCTTATGTAAAATGTCAAGCTCATTAGTAAGTTATTATTTTCCGTCTATCTTTTTTTTTGGATATCTGAGAGACGAAATTATATTAAAGTAACAATGAACTTAGATAAATTACGGTTATAATTAGACGCGAAACTAGGAAATAATTTTCTGGCATTATTTCCATTAAGAAACTGTTAACACGTACTTGTTATTTATAATCAGATAGCATATTCCTTTTCACCATTTCTATTCTAATATATGCATTGAATTTCTTCTTCTATGTCAACATCAGAAAATGATGTTCGAAATGTTTTTCATACACAAATAAGGCAACATATTTAATTTTTGAGCATCAAATTTCAAAGGAACACATTTATTATTCTACCACAAGAAATACATAAACTCAAAAATCTTTTGCTATTTTTAGTTGACAACTAACTCAATAAGCCTTAAGAACGTATAATATATTCATACTTTGAATATTATCTATGAGCTAGATCAAATTTAAGGACAAATAAACATAAACTTAATGGTCTTTATTTTTCTTGCACTTGGTGCTTGCTATGGCAAATTAGATTTCAATTAAATATAGTAGTAATTTCTACAACTGCTTTAATTCAACTAGACTTCAACTAAAATTAAACAAATCTTAATATAAAAATGTATAAGATCAGTTTTTTATTTTCTGATTTTTCAATTTGTTTTTGAATCTTTTCAAGATTCTATTTAATTTTGTTAAAAGCCATATCTATGTCTATGTCTAGTATTATGTCAACTGGATTAGTTCTATTAAGTTTTATAATATGATCTATGCCAAAAAACTTTTAAAAAATTAGTTTCAATAAAGAAAATTCTATTTGAAGTAGAATTTAATTTAATTGTAGTGTAGCGAAGAAGTCTCTCCAGGTATTTAATAATTTTTTGACTGAGACTATGATCATTCAATGAATACTAATGAGTAATAGAACAATTTCCTATGATTTAGTTTTCCGAACCATCATTCTTTAGATATCAAAATCGTATTGAATATTTCAATAAAAAGCTGCAGTCCTTCTCAGACCACATGATGTAACTTTTTTAGTATTTGTAAACCTAAGATATTCAATATTAAAATTTCTTTCATATGTAAAAGTAAATTTTATTCATACATTTACATCTTCAGAAAGAAAATATTAGTTGCACAATCAACTAATATCATTAAGAACTTTGTTTTTTATGTAAAGTTTGAAGTTGAAGTTCGACAGTTGATTTTCCACGTAACTTGATGAAAATCAGAGTTTTTTGTTGAAAAATTCAAGAAAATTTCGATAACTAGAGAATGAAGGCAAGGAAAACTGAACCATTCCAAACTTTTATATTATTCTCTAGCCTTGTGCCAAAGGACCATAGTCTTAGTCGAAAAGTAATTCAACATTTGAATGAATAGGTCCCTCGTTAGTATGAATTAGTCAATTCATTCTAGTAATATCAATGTCACTTTGACAGTATGATCGAAAAAATGTTTCTGTAATCCAATTATATTAAGAATTAGTTTTGGCAAAAATAACTGACGAAAGGACTGCACCAAGTAATTCAGGACTTTTCACTAAAAAAAAAGTCTGATAAGATAAGGACACAGGTCTTTCTTCCTGAATTATGAGAATTTTTATTATTTTTATCACCTATAACGGGACACTTATAAAGCATGAAAAGTGTAAGATTTCAATCTGATATTTTCCTTACATGTAGGTCTCATAACACTTATACCACGCTCATTGCCATAATCAAAACAAATACTTTTCTCTAGAGACGATAAATTTTCAGGACATGTCGATTTTCGTAGCATGTGGTGCCATGAGAGTGTTTCTTGAAGATTCAATGATTTCGAGAACGAAGCACTTGTTTTGATTATAATATTCAAATCACTATAAAGGTCGCGTGATCTATGTATGGGAAAAATTTTAGATAGAAATTTCGTACATTGAGTTTTTGATAAGTCTTTTGTTGTACGTAATAGACCTAATATAATGGTCATAACTAGACATGTGCGGGATCGGAAATCGAGAGTAAATGATATCCCTAAGTTCGTTACTTTTCAAGTAAATTTTTTTGTACACAAATACAAATGAAATCGGTAAGTATTAAGTCTTAATGAATACATAAATCACAAACATATGCACATACCTATATAAAAGAAATAAATTATTTCATGATTATAAACACTAAAATATGGTTTCATCATCTCTTGACAACTATCCTTTGTTTCGTCTGTGAATATGATTATGATAAGTTTCTTAATAATATATGTTTATTTGGAATAAATGATAGACAAGCTGTGTCTTTTGATGATTTTTTTGGCTTGATACACAAAATCGTTTTTAATAATCTGAATCTTTATGTATTCAAAAATTTTATTGTTTACGAAAAAAGAAAGATTAATTTTACTGTCAAAATTTTAATAGCAAATATCGAAATGATCGTTACGCAATAATTTTTGCATAAACTTTAACAAAACATGAGTCGTAAAAATATGATATTCGACGCAAATCTTAGATAACTATAAAATATGTTACTTCCAATTAAAAAGTGTTGATCATAGTTTCAATCCCGATGGAATCATCTCGGGTTATATCTACTCACTGTGGCCTAGTTGTGAAAAAAATATCAAGATAAAAACTCTACGTCATTAAGAGCGGTTTCCTCGTAAGCGAGTATTCAAAAAGCAACTAAATTAATCCAAATATAGGAAGAAAACATTTGAAATTTTTGTGAAATCTAATACTATAAATGTTGATGTACTACTTTCATTATGATCTTCTTTTCTTTTCTAGTTGCCGTAGTCATTGCTTTTATTATATGCTATGCTCCATTTCATGGACAACGTTTAATAACAAGTCGTTTAAATGTTTCACATTTATCATTAATTCAACGACGTGCAATAACTATATTTTACTTTATTAGTGGCATTTTTTATTACATCGGTTCAACCGTAAATCCAATATTTTATCATTTATTTTCTCGTAAATATCGTTTAGCATGTATTCGTACAATGAAAAAAATTGCTCGTTGTAAAAAACGTCGTCATCAAAGTCATAATAACAATGAATATTTTCAGAAACCAAATAAAATTTCATTATTAAAACATTATCCAAATACACTTCGAACAACAAGAAAAATACCAAATGCAACGCCAATTATATACCGGTCACCCAATAGATTAAAAGAAACTGCTGATACGAGACAGAATAGAAAAAATTTATTACGTATATCGTTACCTCCATTTACTCAAGAACGAGTTCATTAACAAATATGTATCAGATTTATTCAATTGTGTGTCGTTTTTTTTTTCTTCTTCAAATCTTGTATATAAACGATTTTTTTAATGAAAAATGAAAAAAAAACGAAAAAGTGAAAAGAAATAATTGTTTATAGATGAATAAAGAAGTCTGTTTTTCAGTTTCCATATGTACTATTCACTGAAGCTGCATCATCAAACTCATCATCACCAGCTAATGTTCGAGTTCCTCGAAAATTCGGTGGTCGAGTTGCACCTGCCGGATACATTGCTTGGCGATTAGGATTGAGTGTTGTATAATTACCTGTACCCATTGGTGGTCGATTTAATCGTTGATTACTATTAATATATTCATCACCAAAATCAGGATATCTTCGAGGATCTCGTCGATAGCCCCTAGGTCCTGATTCAACTAAATCCCCATATTCATCTGATTCTAACGATGATGAATAATCATCATAATCATCAATATCATCACCATAAATATAATAACGATAAAAATCACCAATAGGTACAGGTCCATCATGTGTAACAACAGCTGCATCTTCATGAATAACATTATAATTTTGTTTAGGTGGTCGATACCAATCAAATGGTGCGTGACGATAACGTGGATTGTCTCTTTCAACATGACGAAATCGACCATACAAATGTGAATCAAATTCACTCATAAGAGATGTAACTGAAAACATATTTAAATTATTCATCGGACATAATGCTGGCGCACATGTTGCTGGCATCATTGGTACCATAGCAGGTGCAACACCTGCCATTCCTGGATTGCAAGGCATAAGTCTTGCACGTGAATCACATATTGGCAACATTCGAATCATTTTTTTTTGTTATTGTTCGATTATTAAGATAAAAGATGATGAACATATCAGCAAAACGAGCAACATGAAGCAAGAAGAAACAACTCATCCGTAACATCATTTTTCGCTCTTTCTTTTTTTTTTTGTATCTTATGCAACCTTTATTTAGTATTATATGAACTTTTATTTGTCCATCGAATGAAAAGAAAAAAAAAACTTTATTAGCTTTTGGTTCTTCGTCAAAATAGAAAAAAAATCATATCGAACAATTACCATCAATAAACAAGAAAAAAAAAGCGAGATTTCTATATAGAGTATAATAGCGAATACATTATATTGTATAAAAAGATGTAATTAACTGATGAAGTTAAGCAGCTTGATATTGTGAACAACAGCAAATAACCGCAAATGCATGTATAACACCTTTAAACAATAATATAAATTATAATTTATACTATAGTCAAAATATTTACCTGGAATCCATCCAAGTAATGTCAATAAAATATTAAGACTGACCATACATGAACATACTTTATCACGAGCAAGATATACAGCGACAGGTGGTAAGAGTACAGCCTAATAAAAAAAAATATAAAAAAAAAGATTTCTTTGTAAGAAAAAATATATACAAACCATTATAAAAAGTAAACATTTACCAACAGGATCGAAACCCATTATCAAGTAGTTTTTAAAACAAAATTCTGAAACGAAGAATCAAATCAATTAAAATTAAAAATGTTATTTCATTAAATTTTTCTATTTTGAATATTTGTTATTGACATACAAGAAAATTAAACAGTATTGAATCATCAGTAAATGAAGAGAATGGAATGCAATTCAAAAAAAAAATGATATGGTATTCTAAGGATGGACTGATCACATTGGATACACTATTTTTTTCTATTGGTTCAACTGATATAAAGAATACCTTTGAAAAACAATTCTGTTCGGAAAAAGAAAACAATTGTATCATACGGCTTGTATTCTTCAGTATAATCGTGTGGAAACTAATGGTTATTTGATATGAGAAAATTGTTTGTATAAGAAAAATAATCACCATTAATAGAAAAACAGAAAAATAATGATCGTATTGTACTGTTTTATGAAAGGTTAAGAGAAGACAATTCTTAAAATTTATATTCATCTATTCATATGTCGGGAAGTATTAGTTTTCTACCTTTAATGTCATGTCTGTAGGCATAGAAATCAATTATATTTGCATAAATTACATGCGATGAATCATTCATTTTATTTTTTATAAATAGAGAGACGCCCTTAATAATGGGAAAAAAAAGGTCAGATTGTTTGAATCTATTCTCTTCAATCCTTATACATTAATCTACTAATCCATGATTTTTAATAGATGTATAGAATAATTAGATCTACTCTGTAACATTCATTATTATCTTAGACTTGTGTTTCTTTCGGATCATTTCCGTAGAATGAATCTATATAAATGAACACAAGTGCGTGCAAACATTATTAAGTGTAGGTTGACCTGTAGTAAGTATTTATTAATCAATACCACATTACTTGAAAGTAAAAAAAAAAGAAGAAATTGAATGTTATTCTACTTCAAATAAGTATACTTCCTACTTACACTATCATAAAATGAATATATATGAGTAATGAAAATAATCATACCTATTTGAGCAAACAAATAATGGTACGATGAAAAAAAAAAATTGTATATGAATCAAAAATTGCTTATAGAAAAAAAAGCAGATTAACTTCAGTCAACTATTCATAAAATTATGAGAAACAAGTATCTTAAAAAAAATTTTTCTCAAAGAAAAGTTTAACAAGAACGTATCAACAACAGTTCATAGATGAACTATGAAGATAAGATTTTTAAAAAAGAAACAGACATAGTAGTTTTTAAGTTCCAGAAGAGTATTTTTCAACGATACCATTTTCAAAAAAAGAACAGAATTGAAAAGGAAGAGTCACCACATTTTCTACAAGCTTCACTTGAAAACCTAGGCTTATCATAAAAAAAAGGGATTTTTTTTTATGGTATTTGCGACGTTTATAACATTTTAAGAGAACTTCATAGAAAATTCGGCGACATTTCGTGTTCTTCATAATCATATTGTTAAAAGTAATTCTGATAAAGCCTTCTATGACCTGAAAACTCCATGAACTATTTAAATCACTATCTGAATTTGAGCCAGATGCTTACAATTACAGAAAAAACCATCAAGAATACATTGTTATTAAACTTGTTTCCCATCACATTAGATATGATTCTACCAAGAGTGGACAGTCGAACTAAATGATAGGAAAATTGTTTCCATTTATAGAGAGATGGGTTATTCCACATAAAGTCAAATATATTAAAGAGAAATCAAAAGAAAAGAATATAAACATATATCTATCAATCACTGCTCGACAGACTAGTTTTCAATGTTAACTTCTCATTATGAGGGTAGAAACGGATTAATGATTTCTTCCTGATATGTATTCAATTTACTCCGGTGTGAGTGATCTGATTTAAACGATGTTGTTTCTTTAAAAAAAAGTGTTTCTGCTTGAAATGAAACAATTTTTCGCTTTTATTAATGCAAAATATTATGTATTTTTATTTTAATCTATCACTATTCTTGTTATGTAATAAAATATCGTTATCAAACAACAGTTTGAATAGAAAATTCATTTTTACATGATAATCATAGCAATTTTACTATTTATCATAGTGACATATATCATATGAATTCATTGAACTGACGAGAAAACATTTTTAGGTGTCTGAATTCTTTTAAGCCGATATTTTGCTCGTACGCAAGTCTTAGTGAACTATGAAAAGTCTTTGAATGGTTTTTATCTATGGGCGTTCTTTATCGAATATTTGGAGTCTTCAAGTATTTTCGATGCATAGGAAAGTAATGAAAAAGGCTTCTTTGTCACTACTCAAAGGTAGGAGACTATAAATCTCTTTGAGAATGAACTTGATGATAAGTACTAGATTTTCCAAAGTTAAAACCTTAAGATGTTCGAAGATCATAAATGTCAAAATGTCTTGAAATTTCACCATGATTTTCTTCTGGAATACAAGCATTTATCATATTATTGAATAGTGTACACTTTGCTTTCTATGAAAATTTTGAAGAGAAATTGTTTTGTGTCCTAATAGATATTATACTGAATGAAAAGCATCGGAAAGTCTAGTTATCATTAAATTCATTTTCAATAATATTTAGTCGTGTTAATAGTGACGAAGAAACATTGGCCATTACTTTCCTGAACATAAATCCTTTGGAAGCTTTTCATCACTCACGAAGAACTACTTATAGGCAAAATCTGAACACTTGAGAGTGTTCCTTCATGAATGAATAAACCTTGAAACATCTATAAGAGAAATAAGACTCTACGCCCACTTCAACAGAGTTCAGAAATTTTTTAACTATTACATATGTTCCTTTTTCTTGCTTTGAGTTCATACAGTATTGTATTTTTTTGTTTATTACTTAATATATGAAGAATAAACTTGTTACTTCATAAAAATTTTTGACTTTTTAACTGACGTCTAACTCCATCAGAGTTCGATGCAGGGCTCTTAAAAAGAGTAATCTGTCTTGTTTCACTATGATAAGTGGAGTTTTTTTACTGGACAATTGTAGCGAATCAGAAAGATCAATAATCTAACGAATAAGAAAAAAGTAAACAAACACAAGATTTTTTTATCATTTATTTTTTTTTCAATTGAATCCTTAATAAAAAAAATGGAATTTCTATAGAAGAAAAATCAAAATATAAAAAACTTGATAGTGTCCTCTATAATTCTAACATGAAGGCATGGTGGTGGTCTAAATCTTGCTTTCTTCCAATCATCACTGCTACGATCAACGTTAGTGAATGGATTAGATTTCTTGCATCGACAGTCATAGTTTTGTTTGTTGCGACATTATTTCATTTTCATAAAAAAACTTTTATAGAAATCTATAGATAAATTGTAGACTTTACTTTCCTTAAATAATAGTTAGCTACTTGATAATCATTTGATGAAACAAACACATATATTACTACAGCGTATATTTGTCATTCAATTACCAAATCCAAATATATATTTTTTGTTATGCAAATAATGTTAATATAAAAACATGGAACAGTTATTTTCAGATTGTAAACATAAAATTTTATTCAGATATTTGAATAATTAGTTAAATGAAGAACAAAGGATAAAATAGAATATTCTTTATTTAATAGATGTCATTGTATCTGAATCAAATCTTAGTTGTTTTTTCCTCTATTATTAATTTTAGATAATATATATATATATTTAAATAACAGATCGAGGAAACTATCCAAGATGGTACTTCACGTTTGAAATGAGACTCCAGTCATTATATATGGTCTAAAGTCTCATCTTAAAAGTGAAGAATCACCTTAGATGGTTTCCTTATAAACTAAAATATCTTAAAATAAGAAATTTGTTAAATAAATTTTTAAATAATATTTCAGATCGAACAGATTTTTCATTTCATCGTTCGTTGAATAACTAAATAAAAACAAAAATGGCCAAACGAACCAAAAAAGTCGGCATTGTTGGCAAATATGGCACACGGTAAAGAAAAACTAAACACTCTTTCTTTTCATTTATTAACTTCTCATTATTTATTTCTTAGTTATGGTGCATCACTACGTAAAATGGTTAAGAAAATGGAAGTAACTCAACATTCAAAATACACATGTTCATTTTGTGGTAAAGATAACATGAAACGTAAATGTGTTGGTGTTTGGAAATGTCGTTCATGTCAAAAGACTGTAGCCGGTGGTGCTTATGTTTATTCAACATCAACAGCTGCTGCTGTTCGTTCAGCTGTACGTCGTTTACGTGAAATGCGCGAACAATAATTGATAAAATTTAGGATTTTGTTTATGTTTTATTTATTATTTGTTCGTTGAAATTATAAGAAACATCATAGAAAAAAAAAAAAACAAGAAGAAAATAAAATATCGAATAAGATAAAACAAAAAGTTTTTTTTTCATATTGCAGATTTGTGATCTTTTTATATATAAAATAATCATGTTAAAACGTTATACAACGAAACTAAATTTATTTTTTTTTACATTAATATTTCTTATTTATTTGTTTGCCGGTGCTCATTTATTTTCATTTATTGAACAACCAACTGAACGTATAATTATTAATGAAATGTCGAAAACAAGAAAAGATTTTCTTGAGAAATATCCTTGTGTAAAAGGTTTGAATAAACATATTCGATATAAATAAATCGAAGAAAAAATGATGATTTATTTATTTTTCTAGACGACGATTTTGAATCGTTTATTGTTACATTACTTGATGCTAATAAACATGGAGTAGATGCACGAACAAATTTTACCACGTAAGAATTAATAATTTTTCCATCTTTTCTTTATTTCGTAAAATGTTTTCAAGAACTTCAAATATTAAAATGATAAATGTAAAATTTAGTATAATAAATTCATAGGTAACAAAGGATTTTGATACTACGATAAGCTCAACATTATTTTAATGAAATATGCAGTTAGAAATTAAAAATGAGAGAAAATGATTTTTGTCTAATATTTAGATGAAATATAGTTAGTGCTTCTCTTTTTGAACTCACACCTTGTAGCGTATAACAGTGCTACAGACCAGAAGAAAATTTGCAGCTTGCGTAAAACAAAGAAACATGACCTTCGAAATAAGAGTTTCTGATCTGCTTCATTGCGAAAACAAAATTTTCATGATGAAGGAAAATTTTGGCTATTTCACTTAGATTTTTCGTACAGTTCATCGTCACTAGTAACGAAAGATCTTCAATTCAAGTGATTGACGAAACTCAATACTTTTTCAAAAATAATTTTCTAAGTCTATTTAACTAATAAAATGTTATTTTAAGGAAATCCAAGCTTAATAGTTCTGCGACCTATGAGTATATCAAAAGGAATTGTAGAGCAGAATCAAAAAAGTATTGTTGGCAAATCGTCGGATATGGAATTCGTTCGATAATGTTTTTGTTTAATAACCAATTTATTTACAGTACGCGTAAAAAGTACTTAAAGTTTAATCCTATAGTCTCATAATTTGACTACAAATAGAAGATGTTGAATTTGGGTCGCAATGACTATTCATCACTTGATGGACCTTTATGCAGAGGAGCTACAACATCAAAATGAACTTTTTCTTCAGACGAGGATATCTCAACATCAATGAAGAAGAGACTTTTGCTAGAGTCAATCCAGATGAAAGCAGCTTTCCCACATCTCAAGATTAAAACAGATTGTAAGCACTCTATCTATGACACAATATAGATATGCTAGTCTTTATTTATTTATAAGACAATGAAGATTAACGCATTTAAATAGTAGAAAATCAGAAAAATGTTGAAAAAAAGCCTGTATTGAGTCCTAGAAAAAAAAATCAGTGTTTTCGTTATAAATCATTTGCATTAAGATCTATCAACATTGGGTTGCTGTTTGCGATCAGAGTTCACCAAGATCTCTTTATAGTTAAAATATCAGACAAATGAATTGAAATTGATGTAATTTTATCCAGTAGCGGACTTCTTGCGACTGTTCTATCTGTTTGATTAGAATTGAGTATACATATAACTAGAACAGTGCCCATCAGGCTTATCGATTAGGAAGAGGATGGCGAATGCTTTTTCCTACCAAATATTCCAAACTTTTTGAAAAATTTTATATGGTCTCGTGAGAAATCGTAAAAGAAAGAAAATGTTAGTAGGTTTCGCTCTATTTGAGGCAGATATTCATACGAAGATACACTCTCTCAGACCCAATATCACAAGAGCTTGATGATTTCAGCTTTCTCTGTTCGATCTCTACTAGAAAGATGAACGAGAACATTTTCTACCGAATTTTCAACCTCGTACACCCTTAAAAACAAAAGGAAATTCTAGTGTGCATCCAAAGATCCGGTTGGTTCTTTCGGATTTTCTGGTTATCGTACCATATAATACGTTGTTTGTGCTTCCAAAAATAGGTTTTCGTCCGCGCAAAGTTTTAAATCGTCCATCCATACAAGAAAATCTTGATCAAACACTGAATCAAAGAATATTGGAATAAGTATACGAAAACAATGATATGAATTTCATAATGTTAATTAATCTTGTTAAAACAAAATAGTTCCGAAAATTTTCTTTTTCAATAGACCAGACAGAAGAAAAATTTTTATAATTTTAATATAGGAAAACTAGAAGAATTGATACTGTTTGAATACATTTTTTCTCTTTGAGTTTTGAAAAAAAAAAAGAATAATTCAAATTTACTTAACAGTGTGGATAATTGGTCTTTTGCTCAATCGTTCTTTTTTGCGGTTACGGTTGTTACTACCATTGGGTAAGAATATTTTTTCTTTTGATTTATTCTAGTTTTTTTTTCTGAATAGATATGGTCATGTGAGCCCTTTGTCAGGTAAATATGATTTTTGAAATTTAAATTTTCTGATTAATTCATATAGATACTGGTCGAATAATCTGTATAATATATGCTATAATTGGTGTTCCCATGACATTATTATTACTGACAACAATTGTTCGAAAACTTCTCATTCTTCTTAATAATACTTATTTATGGTTTTGTCGTAAATTTTCATCTAATCAAAGATCTGAATCGAAAATTCGTTTTATACATTTATCAATAATTCTCATATTTTCACTTATTTTTCTTTTTATTATTCCATCAATTATATTTGTATGCATCGAAGAAAATTGGACATTCATCGATGCATTTTATTTTTGTTTTATTTCATTAACAACAATTGGTCTTGGAGATTTTGTTGCTGGAGATTCACCAACACAACGTAATAGACTTTTTTATAAAATATGTTTAACAAGTAATCGAAGATCTTTGAATTTTTATATTTTTTAAAATTTCCTTTTTGTTTTTTTTTGTTTTTTTCTATATTCAGTTTATCTATTAGTTGGTGTAACGATTATGATGTTAATTCTTGCAATGGTTTCACAAATTCCTGAACTTCGTTTAATACAATATTTTCTAAGTGAAACAGAAGTTGAAAATGAACATGAACGTTTATCAACATCAGAAACATCTGGTTTACTTTGGTTACCGAATTCATCATCTAGTCATTCTTATGGTGTTCAAAATTCATCAACTGATCAACCATATCGTCGGCAAATAAACGAAACAGAAAATATGTCGAATATGACTTCTGACAATACAAAAGGTTAATAAAGACAATGAATGATATTTACTTTTTTTTTAAGGAGATTGATGACATAATGGTGCTAATAATTTGTATATTATCTATTGAATGACAATATCTTGCTTTTTTATATCGTTAATCCTATTTTAAAATTTTTCTATAATCTTATTTTTCTCTCTACTTAGTGCTGTAATAGTCTTCGAATCGAATGTTATTTAAAAAAAAAACTCATATGCTTATAAATAATCAAGTAGCACATGTGTTTCTTTTATTTATTGGACATGTATGGCATTGATTTTCATGAAAGACAAAGATATGCAAATTAATATTTAGTTAGAAGATTATTCTTTGTGATATCTTTAGGTGAGCAAAAAGACATTTCTTTTAGCAATTTTTCATTATTTGTTTTCAAATGAAAGGTTACTTCGGAAAAAGAAACTACTAAAATTAATGTTTTTAAAGGGCAGAACAGATCCATAACTAGCCCTAATCATGTACAAAGACCGTTTTTCGGAAAGATTAGTATTAATTGAAATGTGTTAAATTTTTCATCAAATGTTGAAATAGTTATCAACCTCTTAAATATTAACTGATCGTTTACTGAGAAGATTATGTGTATTGTAAAGGCAATTTGTTATGTTAGAAGTAAGACGAACATATAACTCAGCAAGGACATTGCCATAGACAAATCGAACATATGAATTGTAAGATCATTAGTAGATTCATTAAGAACTAAAGAAGTTCTTTTAATTAAATAAACAATGCTTTTATAACTAAATAGAAGATTGTGTTCATAATATTCGGAAAAGAGATTTTATTAAGAAATCACTCCAAATATAAGTACGATGTTGAACTTCACCTATTACTTATTGATGAACAGCAGAAACATTTGAATCAAATACAAGCAATAATTATTATCGATACCGATTTCGTCCATTGTAAAAATCCGAGATGAGAAAGTAAGTGATTTCAGAATTCTAAAAATTTTAATCTATATATCTATCTATTAATATTACTGAAAACATAGCTGTTAAAAGTTGTCTTCAGCAATGTTTTTGTGAAATACTTGCGAAAATTACGGATATCCATCATTATTTTGATATTTAATTGTACAAAATATTTTAAAAATAAATATCAAAGTAACTATCGTTATCATTTATAATTAAATCCACAGGAATCATGAATGCCCTTATCATATTCATTTCGAATTGCATCGATTTTTTTCAGTTTTGGTGATATTCGCAGTTTTTACAGATATCTGTCTTTGCAATATTCCAATATATGAATATTCTCACAATTATTATTCATATGATATAATAGAATTTATAGAATAGATCAATGATTACTTTGAATTCTAATCCAATGTAATCAAACATGAGATATATTTCTACTGTAATAGTTTGTATTACTCAAATCTAAATAAAAAGAATGAAAAGAACTGAGAATCAACTATTCCATTGCATATGAATCGTGTTAGTTTGTCGCCATTGAAGGATATTGTGTTAAAGAAATAATCTTCGTCTTATTGATAATAGTACGAAGATTGATTATTGGACGTTAATATTTGTCAATTGGATTGGTCGTATGACTTATTCCACAGGTGACGAAAATCTCATGCTTCACTTTGCATCTCATTCTTATAATCATTTTGCATAGAGCATAGGTGTTCCAAAATGAAATTAAAAAAAAAAAAAGAAGATTTTGTACTGATAAAACATCAATAATTAACGAAATGAATATTATTTTAGTGATCAATTAGAAAATACAATAAAAAGAGATTAAATAAAACTATATCAAGTTGTATATTATATTCATAGAAAGATACTAGTGTTTCATAAAACTCGATGAAGCTTAACTTGAAATTAATTTGACATAGTGTTTCATTTAACGAAGTATCCATTAGTTTAACAAGTACTGAGCACGACGATTACTTGAGAAAGATACAACACATTTTGTTTTGAAGAATGATTTGTTTCATTGTAAAATTTGCGAATAATGTGACAACATTGTTGCTATTTCTAATAGAACCAATGAAGACCAGTAACATATTCAGTGAAGCAAATATAAAATTCTTTCAATAATTTACAAAATTTTAGCGTATCTCTTTAAATGTTTCTTCATTGAGAGTGTAATTAATAGCAAAGAGTAATCCAATCCTTGTAAATTGAAATTAGTATTGATTATTATTTGAAATAAATAAGCTATGAGATGAATTATTAATATAACAAACTAAAAAAAAACAGCAACAATCTCTAATTTCAATTCATAGTACTTTGTTTTAAAGACTTATTTGATAACAGATGATTTAGAAAATATAGACAGGGATGTCCTGAGGTCACTAGAATTGAAGAAGGAGATGACTCAAGAGACTAATGGGAAGACTTTTACTAAAATTGATCAGATTTTGAGAGAAAGATCGCGTGTTTTGTTTTTTAAACTGGTGGGCATTAACTACACTTTAAGCTTCCTTGAAAATAATGTATTCTCTGCTATAATAATGGATAGAAGATGAACAATTGAAGTCACGATACACAAATCTTCTCTTTTTATCATGTTGTAGATTGATACAGTCAACATTTCTTTTTATGATTAAATTATCTCATTTTATTATTGGTTATCTTATTTTTTTATTATTTGGTGCTTTAATATTCTATGAATTGAATACAGTTGAAGAAAAAAAAAGGCATATATATGTAAATAATCAAATTAAACAATTTATTAATCGAAATAACAAATGTTTAAAAGGTAATTAAATATTGATAAATAACTTCTTTTTTTTAAATTTTCTTTTCTTTTCAGAACATGATTTATATTCTTATGTTGATTATTTTTTGGATAAATCTCATACGGGTTTATGGCATTCATCTTTATCAAAAGCAAATATAACTAAATGGACATTTGGACAAGGCCTATTCTTTGTTACATCTCTAATCACAACTGTTGGTAAGATAAGATTTATATAGTTTTCAATGTTTATTTCGAATAAAATATCGACTTCAAACATAAGAAGAACTAACATTTTTTTAAGAATGAAAGGAATCAATAGCTGGATCAAATGATTCACCAAGGTTACTTGTCCAAAAGATGAGTATTGATTTAAGTGTAGTCGAGACTTAATTAAATTCATTGAGAATTGTTAACGATAGCCCGTTTACCAACACCTAATGGATTTGTTTGAATTAAATTCGTAAGGGTACTGCCAAGTGTATTGAGAGCATTAGTAGTTACACCACTGAATAATTGTTGAAGGATGTTGTCATAGAGAAAG